AAACCCTTTAAAAACCCAGTTCATTTAATGAAATTGCATCAATAATTTTGGTCTAGAGTTCATTATTCAAAAATCCATCAAAAACAATCCACTCAAACTTCAAATAAATCTCTCCATCTTAAAATATAGAAATTATCCATTCCTTTCTCCCTTAAACCAAGAAAAAYCAAATGATACCTTAAATTTCTATCTATAAGAAAGAACCTCTATCTTTTCATATAAATATTCAATCCAACCAGAAATCTACGAGGATCTATTAGAGCAATCTAGAAGACTTCAATATCATATTTAGAAAACTAATGGAATCATAAGATTCCTAAATCGGTTCAAAGCATCTCTCATATAATACGAAACTAGCAAAACAAGCAAAACAAAATAATAATTTAGGTTGTGTTTGGATAAACTTCAGGATTTAGGCTCTCAAGTCTCAAAGCCCAAAATAGGGGTGGCAAATGGATGAATTGGGTTGGGTTGGGTGTGGATTGAGTACCAACCCACCCATATTGACCCACTAACCCATTTACCACCCATGTCTGTGGGTCAAAGAGGGTCACAACCCACCCTGACCCTGACCCACACCTAACCCACCCATTTGACCCTCTAATTCAATTATTCAAATTAAAGAAAATGCCAAAAATTGCATCAAAGTATAAAAATTGTAGGAAACACAAGAAAACATACATAAAATATGTAGGAAAATGCCAAAATTTATAAAAAAAAAAATGCACAAATATATAGAAATTACTATAAAATATGAATGATAAAAAATTCAGAAAACATATTTTTTTAGACAAAAAAAAATTAAAAATTCAGAATAATAAATAAAACAATAAAAAAATTATATATTTCAACTAAAAACAATAATCACAGGAAAAAGATGCAAAAAATGATAACAAAAATTTCTAGAAATTATATACCTCAGGTAAAAATAGAAAATTACAGAAAACACATAAAATAATTAATTTTTTCAAAAAATATATGTTTCAGCCAAAGATTAGAATTAGAATAACAGAAAAATTGCAGAAAATAAAAATAATTGTATAAAATATAAAAAATGATAAAAAAAAATCTCAAAATATTTGGCTACGGTGGTGCTTCTCGGATCAGATGGTTTCGTCTCACTCGCTAGTGTCGTCTATTCCTGACTGCTCGTCCTTGTTTCTCCTTCATTAAATCATTAGTATCGCCTGCTATGTCCAATCGCAGGCATCATCTCCTCTCTTCAATCTCTAGTTGTTGATTCAAATCTTGGGGTGAAACTTTGTAACGACTAGCTCTAAAACCTTCATCTCCCACTTATGCGAAACCATTACTGGTGGTGGTGAGAATGGTGGCAATGAGAATAGTGGCAGCGACTTGAGAGAACCCTAAATGGTGGCAACGAGAGCGGCAACAAAAATCATGGCAGTGACTTGAGAGAGCCCTAAATGGTGGCAACGAGAACAACGGCAATGAAAATCATTGGTTGTTTTGAAAGTTTAAAAACCCTAAACAGATGAAAATAAAAAATGGAGGGTCAATTGGTAACCCTCGACCCAATCCCACCCTGACCCTTTTCCCTTGACTCTAATGGGTCGAATGACCCATCTTAACCCACCATTAGAATGAATGGGTATGGGTGTGTGGGTTTTGAAATGAGTGATTTGGATGGATCAAGCGGGTTAGGGTCAAAATTGCCGGCCCTAGCCCAAAATCATGAATCCCGAATTTTAACTACCTTAGGGCTTAAATGTGTTTCAGACTGAAATTATATTGTTCTTAAAACAGTTCTTACCAAAACCATATAACACATTTTTGCTTAAATATTAATATGTTAAGAAATATTAACATACTAATATGTTAAGAAATGCTTTGACTTGGCATTGATATCGCTTTTCTAGACTATCTAGTTATTAAATTTATAATATTATGAAATTATTTGCTTAGGATTTGATATATATAAATACATTACAAGTTAGCTTAAAATATTTCATTTAAAATGTTCACAATAGTCTATTTAATCATCCTATTATTTTAAGTTAGAACCATTATATTAAAGTCTGATTTTTTTTCTTGATAAATTCATACTGAAAACTATATATATATATTAAAAGGATATGGGTGCTCTCTGCACTTAGGAAATGGAATCTACTCGTGCGAGTAGATCCCACGTGCGAGCACCCATTTCCAATAATTAATTAGTAATTAATAACAATAATTACAGTAATTAATAGTGTAATTATATAATTACTGTAATAATAATTACTAATTATGTTACTAATTAATAGTGTGATTATATTACTAATTAATTACTGTAATATAGTTACTGTAATAATAATTGCTGATTATCATAGTAATTTAAAAAATATATAATTAGTGTTTATAATTAATAATTACTGTTATTATAAATATTGTTAATAACTAGATATTTACTTTAATTTTACTTTGAATTAAAATTATAAATATTGTTATTAAAAAATGCTGTTAATAAATTTAGTAACCCAATTTTAATAATTACTGATTTTACAGTAATTTAATAAATATATAATTAGTGATTATAATTAATAATTACTGTTATTATAAATATTGTTAATAACTAGATATTTACTTAAAATTTTTACTTTAAATTAAAATTATAAATACTGTTAATAAATATAGTAATTATTGTTATATTCAAAATAATTAAAATTATAATTAAAAAATACTGTTAATAAATTTAGTAACCAATTTTAATAATAACTGATTATTACAGTAATTTAATAAATATATAATTAGTGGTTATAATTAATAATTACTGTTATTATAAATATTGTTAATAAATAGATATTTACTTTATTTTTACTTTAAATTAAATTTATAAATACTGTTATTAATAAATATAGTAATTATTGTTATATTCAAAATAATTAAAAATGTTATTAAAAGTATTGTTATTGATTATTTAATAAAATATTATAATTACTGACTATTACTAATAAATACTATTAATTTAATTTTAATTTTGGTAATTTTTAATTTAATGAATATTGTTAATAAATCCTATTCATAAATTTAATAATTACTGTTATATTAAAAATAACTAAATAATATTATTAAAACTATCATTAATTATTATTTAATTAAATAGTATAATTACTTACTATTATTGATAAATGTTGTTAATAACGGTTTGACAATCGACTGTTCGACCGTTCGATTTGAAAAGATGGCCCATTCTGACAGCAAAAAATTACGGAACCATTTTGGCCACCGGTTTTCGGGTCGACGATTTGATCATCTGGTTCGAATGGACACTCTGTTCTGATAACAAAAATTATAGGCAAAAAATTGAATTTGTGAGGTCTATTAAGTAGTATCATACATGCTATGTCATTTGAGCGTGTGACTCATATGACTCAAAAGAGAAACCGTTTTGACAACAAAAAATTATAAGCAAAAAATTTACGGAATTGTTTTGGCCACCGATTTTTAGGTCGGTAGTTCAATCGTCCGGTTCAAACGGATAGTCCATTCTAACAACAAAAATTATAGGCAAAAAATCGAGTGTGTGAGGTCCATTGAGCAGTACCATACATGTTATGTCATTTGAGCGTGTGACTCATACGAGCCAACAATGGAACTGTTTTGGCCACCGGTTTTTTGGTCGATGATTCGACCGTCCGGTTCGAACGAACGAGACCCGTTCTGATAACAAAAATTAAAAAAATAAAAAAACAGCCAAAAACCATTGAACGGATCAATAGGTTGATGGTTCGACCACTCAGGTCAATGGGTCGTTGATCGATTCAATGCTTTTTGGCTAGGGACTAGGATTGGGGTAAAAGAAATTGGTTGCCTAAACAGTTTCCAATTAAAAAAACCGGATTACCCATTCTGACAACAAAAATTACATGCAAAAAATTGAGTGTGTGAGGTCCATTAAGCATTACCATACGTGTTATGTCATTCGAACGTGTAACTTATACAACCTAAAAACGGAACTGTTATGGGCACCGGTTTTCGGGTCAATGGTTCGATTATTCAATTCGAAGGGTGGCCCGTTCTGATAATAAAAATTAAAACAAATAAAAAATGACAAAAAACCATTAAACGGGTTAACGGTTTGATTCAACGATTTTTGATTACAAACCGAGATTAGAATAAAATGGTCAACAGATCAATGGTTCAACTGTTTAAATCAATGGATCATTAACCGATTTAATGATTTTTAGCCAAGAACCAAATCAACGGGTCGACGGATTGATGATTCCATTCCAGCACTTGCGAAGCAGGCCCCTCCGCTAGTTTCTATATAAATTGTATGGTTGGGTGCCGACTACCGGGTGGTTGCAGATTTGGTGTTTGCTTAGCAGGAATAAAAAAAAAAAAAAAGTAATTCGTCAAATCAATTGGAGATTTGGAGTTTGGTTGATTGGTTCTTTTAAAAAAAAAAAGTCAATTGGTTAGTACCTCCTAATCCTATTGTAGTCTGTCTAAAGCCATGCTTCATTCCGCCATTTCGTCAAACAGTTACTACGCAAGACATCGTTAAGTCAATCTTCAGATGGAAAAACAGATGAAGCACCCATGATCAACATCGAATTGTTAGTACTTTGTAATCTTCATATTACGAGAACGAAAGCCCTCATGCACAGTTATCAAGTAAAGACAGAATGACCCAAGCAATCGTTTTCCTGCCCCATGTAGAATCTGAATCAGGAGTTCAGGATCAAACATCTGATCAACTATATTATCTGTGGTTATTTTTCTCACAAACTCAGTGGATTTATTCCATTTTATTTTCAATAGAGGAAAGCAACAAAAGGTTACCACGATAGAAATGGTTAATATTAACCCACTAAATGCCGGAACGGAATCTGCTCCTACAAAGGGCGCCTCACATGTACATTCACCGTACATTGAAAATATCTCTCATGAAAAATATCAAATACGGAAGATATTCTCAATGCATGATAGGATGTGCGTGTGAGACATCCGGTCTCGGTAGAAACATTGGAACCTTGGCTAGGACATTACGTCAAGGTCATTTTCCTCGAACGACAACACAGAAAGAGGAATTTTGCAGAGTGTTCTTCCGTAAATGAAGTTAAACACGCAAGAGTAGTCAACCGTCCGATCATTTCGGTGGCCTCTGGCTCAAAACTCGCAGAAGTACTAAAACAGGGGTGACGCCATCTACAATTAAATATGTTTAAATTAGAAGGACTGAAGCACGCGAAGACACTGATGACTGAGAGCTTTCAAGCATGATTTAATGGTTACTTGTGGTCATTACCAAAACCAGGTAAATGCACCGCATGACTTTGAATGAAGAAGAATTGCTGGATAATTGTTTTTTATCCAATTCGACCAACCTCATGTTAATACCTTTCCGGATTCTGCTGCTTCGGAAAGTCTTGCTATTGCTCTGCCATTTTGCTCCGCTTGAAGCTTCAATCGATTCTCTTTAAGTCTATCATTTGGGGCTTCAAAGTCTGATATGCTTGACTTCTTTCGGGAATCGCCACCTGGGTATCCCTTTATTCGCAAAGAAAATGCTCCTTTTTTCGGAGAAAGCAGCTCCCTGTGTTACTTTGATTGCACAAGGAGCTGTTTTTTCATATCTTAAACCCATAATTCTCAATTAGTCTTCCTTTATTTTTCCTGTATATTTGTGCTTGCAGATGTTGTAAGAGCGGTGTGGGTTTTTACTCTTTTTGTGAATTTGTCCTCTGGGCATTTGTTGGATTTATTCTGGAAGCTGAGTCTTCTCATATCTTCCTGAACCTACATAGAACCATTAATCCCATTCTGCTTGTATATGAAAAGGTCTCTTAGTTAGGTGTAGCTGAATTTGTAGAAATTATCGTCTACTTTTCTGAAGTAATTGAAGAATTGTTGGGGTTGCAGAGAATTTCAAAATAATGATAATCAGGCTTTTCAAATTGTTGTTGTTTCATGATTCGGAATGATGATCCATTGAAAAAAAGGGTGATCATGGATGACGGAGGGGTAGACACTTCAGATCAAGTTTTTCCATCAAATCCTGATGTTTCCACCGATATCCAGGGATCAACATCTTTAGACGTATTGCTTGATGAAATTTTGAAGAGCACTCGGACATGTACTCACACTCACACCTGCAACCTCCCCGGCCCTGATGCCGCACACACTCATACTTGTTATCATACACATACCCAAGTGTTTGCATCTGAGGAAGACGACACGCCAAATCACAAGCAGCAGTCAGTTACAAAATCTAAGAGGTCTTCAGGGAACAGGGAAGCTGTAAGGAAATATCGAGCGAAGAAGAAGGCACACACAGCTTACTTGGAAGAGGAAGTCAAAAAGCTGCGCCTCCTGAATCAACAACTGATCAGGAGATTACAGGGGCAGGCAATGCTTGAAGCTGAGGTTCTGAGACTGAGGTCTCTGTTGATTGATCTTAGAGGAAAGATTGATAATGAATTAGATAATTTGTCTTCCCAAAAGCACTATAATCGTAGTACTAGTTTTAAGGAGGGAAATGGGGGGATACAATCTGTTGATGGAAGAATTGGTCTAGAGTGCAAGACCAATGCCCCGTGCCTTCATCCAGACATGGGGCTATCTGTACAAGCTGGAATTGGTGTAAACAAACAAGTGGTTGTCAATTGGGAAGGAAGTTGCCAACCTCCAATTGTAGACTGCAGGGTTAGCACAAACAGAGATGTGGGTCAAAACTTGGCAAGTGGTGAAACACATCCTGATTGCTCAATGCCAGGCACCTTGGATGCATTGGGGACCTTGGTCTCATCTACATCTCAAGCTGAATAAAACAAAGAACATTTTCTATAATTACATAATGCTGCCTATGAAGCTCACTGTAGATCATCTTGCTTTGGTGTTCTGCTACAGGTAGTGAACTTACAGAGTTTATGTATAATATATCAAAGGCAGTAAGTGATAGTATTTATAAGGTTGACTTTAATAAGGAAGCATGGGCTGCCTGTCTTGTACATAAAACCTCCTTTTGTTCTAGATGGATGTAAATAAAATATTGTGCAATCCTGTTCCTAATTGTTAGGCCATAGAAACCCTCTGGGGCAGTTATTGTTGTAGAATTGTAGGAAATGAAGACTACAAGTCTGTTGATGTTCCTCATGGGATATGATGCATATATCCCCTTAAAGCTAAGAGGGAGGCACAATATATCCTCCGATTCTGTCACATAACCAAAGTTGTCAGATGAGTGGATCACATATTACAGTTGGCCTGGCTCTGTTTAAATTTCGTACCCAGAGAATAGAAGGTGATGTAAAGGAATCCATGTTCCTTCATAGAGCCAATACACAATATAAAGCTTTAACAATCTTACTTCCACAAGTCATATATTTGCTTAGGTGATCCATACATTGAAGCCACATTTTTTTTGGTAAATTACACTGGAACCATTGGAGTAAGTTCTGTACATTCTCTTTTGATGGTTCACTCTCTAATGAACTATTGCAGGAGTAGTTCTGTTGAATCCTCTCCTATGTGTCACATAGAAACACATCAATACTCCATTTTAAAGTTTCTTATTGGTGAATGGTGGAAGGTGAAAGTAACAATTAATTTTGGCATCCATTGCTTTGCAAAAAAGAGAATTTAAAGTATGCTTGCCAGACTAGTCAGGTATGATTGATCTTTCATTTTATTGCAAATGAGATTTCAAGCTGGTACACAAAATGTCTATAGGCCCTTAGCTTTTCTCAGAACCCATCCTATGATTCACTGTCCATGAAGAGTGTATTATCCAAACAATTGTAGAAAATGCAGTAACATTCAACATGAGATTTAGGTAGCTTTTGGTAGGGAACAACTATTTTAAGCTTTGTAGAAGCTCAGAAGTCAGAATAACTAATTTCAGTTGTCATTATCTCTAAAGATTACACTGTTATCAGGATTAACTGAATTGGGAGAGCAGAACTAGAAACTCCACTTCAAGGATTGAGACTGACAACCTATTTGATTCTTGTGATTTGACAGAAGGGGACTCTAAAACCATAATAGCTTGGCTGAGGGGTGAAATGGCTGGATCATGGAACTTCAGAAATAGATCAAAGACTCTTTTTTTTGGGTCCCTCAGTCTGCTAACTCATGCAAATTCACTAGCCCATGAAGGGGTAATGAGATACTGCTTACAAGTGGGGTGGAATTAGATATCCATTTGATTAAATTTCTACTCCTTGATCTCTTAGGTGTTGTGAGTAACTCAATAATATATTGTTGTTAAAATTGTAAAATAGTTAGACATGATGTAATACTGCACATAAAGTGTTTGTTCTCTCTATTATTAATAAAATATTGTCAAGTAACTAATGAAAAAAATTACACTACTGTCAGAACTCAGTTGTCCTAATAGACCTTAAAGGATTGTTCACCTGGCTGAGCATTCTGCTACCAGCAATCACCATCCAATTCATCCCATCATTCTACAAATTATGTGCATTTAGTCATGAAGAGATTCCTACTATTGGAAAATGGCGTCCACCTTGTGACTCATGAAATCTGGAATTCCTATAATTTCCCAAACATCCTTCATTCCTAATAACTAAGAATTATTCTTATTTACTCATCAAGTGTAAGAAAGTGAACTACTTAGTTTTCTTCTAATGGAAACTAGTTGGGATCTATAAAATCATTAGTTCAATCTTCACATTCCTGGTTATAGTGCCATGCTAAATGCTGTTTTTTTATATGAAAATAAAACTTAGTTAAAACCAAACAAGGATACAAGAGGAGCACAGAGTACCCTTGTACTTGGCAGGTTGTCAACTTGGTATCTTCCATATACCACCTATATTGAGGGGATTCGCTCCATTTGTCCAAGACTGTTAAGCACCGGGCCGGGTCAAGGAATTCTTGACTATGACTTCAAGGGATTACTTCGAGATGACATCGAGGCATCTTTGAGAGGAGGTGGATCGGTGGTGAATTTAGTACTCTGCCCACTGTTGTTCTAGTTTAGTCTCAGGGAAGAAGAACTGCATAAAAAATAAACACCTAGCAAATTGTCATATCTATAAATTGTCCAAACTGAAGGACTTACGAAAGCTTCCACCTTTAGCGGTCTCTCCACATATATGACTGACTACCTTTATCCTAAGTTTTCGTAGGATTCCACCACCTTATACATTAGAAAATAATAGCCAATCTGTCGCATTCTATCAAGAGTAATTTGCTCAAAAGGTAGATTATGTATCTTCACCCCCTCTTATCATACCAAAGAAAGCCATAGTAAGGTGTGGTGCCTTTATGGTAATTGGAAAACCTTAGCCTCTGGCTCACTTCATAGGAGATGAGGTATGTGGGAGGCATGCCAATGCTTAGTTGGCTACTTTATGTATTATACGTTTTTAAATAGGCAAAATATAATTTTGATGTTTTCTTTTTTCCGGTAAATTGAAAGGTGTTACACAAGATGGGGGGTAGCACGTCTCTAAACATCACAAAAACAAATGAAAAGTAGAAGAGCGAACACTAGACATGACAGTAGTTAATATTGTGATCCATCTGCACACCAAGATGATGACACTCCTCAATGATATTCCTTAATCTCTACAGGGGTTCACCTTTTGAAGAAGGCAGTTGATGATGAAATTGGAATCACCCTTAATAATAATAGGCAGACGCCGCTGACCACAAAAGATGAGAGCAACGTTGTGGTTTTCCCAAGCAGCCTAGGCTTCAGAAAGGTTAATAGAAGTTACACTAATAGAGTATGCTTTCACATTCAGGACCCTACCAAAATAGTCCCCTAGTAATGTGCACCACAGAGCAAAATCCATTTAGCTTGCATGAGGCATCAAAATTAATTTTTATAGTATCCTCATGAAGAATTTTTCATCAAATAGGCGACCATTCATTATGAGTATTTATAGATAGGGGTGTCAACGGTATTCAAAAATTCGATTTTGAATTCGATATTTGACATAATCAAATTGAATTTCGATAATTTGAATATCTAATTGGTCGAATTCGGATATGACCTAATTCGATTCGATAAACATCCGAATTCGATCGATTATTTAATTCTTATATATAATATATAAAATATTTTATATAATTTATATATATATATATAATGATTAAGTTATATAAATAACTTATATATTTATATACTTTATATCAATAAAATATTTATTTTATATATTTATTAATTATCTAAAATAATTAATTAATTGAATTTGAATTGAATCGAATATTCAAATATTTAATCGGATTCAAATTTGGATATTAATTTTCAATATCCGTCGGATATCAAATCAAATTTGGATATCGGATTCGAATTTAGATATTGCCTGATCTGATTCGCATCCGATCCATTTACACCCCTATTTACAGAAACATGATTTCCACCCAAACAAGATTTTATATCCATAAGGAAATTAAGATCTCTATCGATTAGGGTAAGGAGCATTAGATTCTTTTTCATTTTTGTTTTGTAAAGGAACCACAAGATAACCACATATTTCTCTTTAATTTATCACTCACCATAATCAATACAAGTGTTAGAAATTTTTGTCCACCAATCACGAATTGAGTTATCATCATCATAAGGACAACCACCATTTTTGCTGATGGTCAGGCACACTTGCTTGGCTTATGAACATTTAAGAAAAATGTGGTCCATATCCTCATCCTCACCACAAATGGAACAAGCACCATCAATGTTACAATTGCTATGAATAAGAAGATTTTTAATGGGGACTTTATTAATAAGAACAAGAAACATGAATACCTTAATCTTAGGGGGGCAAAGGATTCTCCAAATGCTTTAGAGATAATTATCTAGCACATGATTTTCCTGATTTGCTAAACACTCACAGATTTCACTATGTACTTACCATTATAAGTACGCCTCCTAATCATTTTGTCTTCCATCATAGGAATAGAAGGAAGAATAATAGGCTTGATCCTCCACCTGTTGACCCCGACAACAAAGAATGAATTGGTTGTTCATTTCAACTATTTCTCTCATTAACAATACCATAATTGATTAGAAGATTCAAATTGTCAATGTGATCTTAGTCCACTTCATTGACAAGACGGGTGTTATTAACCCAAACACCAGTCCAAAATTTAACCTTTTACTATCACCAATGGTCTAGCCAATACCTCTCTTAATCACATCTCTCAAAGAAAGGATATTTCTCTAAGCCCAAGAAATACCCTTTTTAGCATTGGCATCCCAAAAATTTTGTCTTTTAAGGTTTTTATTTGATACCACCCTCATCCACAAGCTTTCTTGATTTGTCAAAATACGCGAACCGAATTTTTCAGACAGACATTGTTCATCCATCTGAGATTTTTTATCCCAAGACCACCCAAAATTTGAGAGTACAAACGTGTTTCCAATTTGTAAGGTGAATTGGTTTTCTATTGTTTGATTTATACTAAATAATTTTTTTTTTTTGGATCTTATTAAGCTCCTCAATCACGTTACTAGGAATTTTGAATGATTTCATAATGAATTAGGGCATCATGTAGGTGGTAAAATTAAGGGTTTCTAGCATGTAAGGGCAACTTTTTGCCCTAAATATCAATAAAAAATAATATTTTTATAAAATAACTAAAATAGGATAACTTTTTTGAAAAAATATCAAGAA